TGAATTCTCTGTAGGTGATTTAATTGTAAGGCCGATTTTGCCTAATGTTTAAAAGTACATCCACTGTACCTAATAAAAAAAACTTCCTAACAGGATGGAAGGGACAGGGTGACCTTTGCTTTTCATTTCCAACGATCTCCATGTATTGTTTAATGTTAAACCTAGAATTCTGCTTGATAAAAGATGATTAATTTTATTTTCCTTTTGTGCAGGAGCTTCATTTAATCATTTGTAACCTGAAGACGTTTTTTGTTCTCTAAAACAATTGGTTTTCTATAACTGTTATTAAACTCCTGCCGAAGACCTTGTCCTAGCGAGGCAAATACATACCAATACTTGTTTAAAGTACAGCTCTGTTTTTCCAAGGCCACACATGTGCAGTTGTTCTTTGGTGTTCCTTTTGCTGTGGCGTGAGGTGACCAGAAAAACTGGTTGTTAATTATAATTCTTCTTTCTCCAGTGCGCTGGACTTTTTTTTCATTTTGGATTCTGACTTTCAAATGGAATAGCTTCTCACCTTAGAACAGATACTCATCCTCTTGTTGTAAATAAGGTAACAATAAATTTCTTATGACAAGCATTAATTTAGGCAGGAAATAATGGGCTTCTTATCTAATTCTTCTGCCACTCTTAACCACCACTATTCCTGTTTTTTGTCGATTGTTTCTTTTTTAGGTCACTTCGTATTTCAGAGTACAAAAATTGATTTAATGCGCATGGGTGTAATTTCTGCTCAGATTAGTCAGATCTTGTAAGTAATGCAAAAGAATTGGCACCAATTTTGATTTAATATCCTCATTTGTAATGCCCTAATTGAACATTTTGTTCAACAGAATACATAATGGGTATTTGTAGGTATTATTTTCTTAATGAATAATTTCTCTGCAATATTATCTGCTCAGTGAAGCATGTTTTGTGTATGTTTCTCATTATAATATTACAGTAAATTCCTGATAATAGGAAGGCCTTTGTGACTTGGCATATGATGAGAGTATAATCATACTATTAGAGGTAAAATCAGAATTGAAGTCAAACGGGGGATTAAATTCATAATAATTGTGTTGGCAAGTTCTGTAGTTGTCGTGCTGTTGCAGTATTTATGTGGCCGTGGCATTCACAAAATGTTTTTAGATGTTTAATGTAATGGAACTTGTTTAGAATGTAAAAGTGAAAATAATCAGAACGAAAGTATGGTTTTATTTATCTGTTATTCAGTTGTAGATTATTTAGTATATCTAAAAAACAAATCTATCTTATTACCTTAATCATTTTAATGATTAGGAAAATGGGAGTGCTATGGTACTGTAAGTAAAACAGGAGTACAATTGTTCTTCTGCTGCTGTAGTATTACCTCTGAGCTGATCATTTTCTAAAGTTAATACCATGAAAAAACTAACTTGAAAATGTCTGTTGCTAAAATCTTTTTAGTATTTTAATACCATACATCTTCCTTTAAAATGCAGTAGAAAATTTGTGTGTCTACTCATTGTGTGTATGCATGCATGTACATGTACACAGACGCTTGATGTTATTAAGTTTCTAATCACGCTGATGTGGCCCGTGTTCATTCTGATCACCACATGTATAAAGTTTTGCCAGCAGAAGCTGGTAGGTACTGCAGCCTTTTGGCAGCTGTTGCTGCCAATGTGGCCTGAAGACAGAACGTTCTTGTTCGGCGTAGTAATTGCTGTTTGTTGTTGCAGTGTTCTGTACAATTTTTCGTTGGCTTTTTCTTCACCGTCTTGTCTACATTTTTGGTGTTCTCAGAAAATCTCACAAATCATGCCTGTCATCGGTTCTTACAGTACCCACCAAGTATGTGGCTATGTCATATAAACTCAACTCCCAGCATGGGTCTCTGTCACTGTTGCAAGCAGAATAAACATGGAAAAAAGAGTTATTTATTATTTCAAAGATTATGTGCGTGTATTTGGGGTAGGACTAATATTAAAGTACCTGTGAGAATGGACAGTAGGTCTGCTGGCCCAGTTTTGGGAGGCGTAGCTAATACCACCTTTGTGACATATTTCACTGTACTGTATCTCTAATGCTGACGCAAGTTTAGATGATTATTTCTTTTTTTTTTTACTGCTTTTTAAAAACTGAGACGCATCATAGCCTGAAGCCAGGAGAGTAATGCAACATTATCTAGGTTTGTGACAAAATCATTTATGAAGAGCATGATAGATCTTAACCATTATTAAGTAGAAAGTGCTCTGTTCTTGTCTAGACTTGCCTCTGCTCTTCAATGCACACTCCCTGCTACCCTGACCTTGTCTATACACCCATTGCACTCAACACCTCCTCCACACAAGCCCTTCCCAGACAGGGGAGACGCCATCATTGAGCACTCAAGCGGGCAAACAGACTTGGGAAAGTCCAGTTAGTTCCCAGCCTTACAGGCCATGTGCATCGGTAATGATCATATTCAAATGATCAAGCACTTGTGATCACATAAGGTTGATAAGCACATACAGTACCACCCCACAGTTCAGAACAAAGTATGTCAGGTGGAAGTCTAATCTTCCACTGTTCCCTTTGAATTGAAAAGCCTGAGCAAATGTAAGTATTTGTGTGATTAATCCAAAATTCTTGTATCACCATAGTATTATATCTTTGGAGTTCCATGTGTTTTGAGGTATTGAATTCAATAGGTCATGTGCAACCTGTCTGAATTGGACTGGGGATGTGCTGACATATTTATGGGGAAGGCTGGAGCCTTTCAAGTTCCCATTTAATAAATATTGACTCGTTCTGGAAGAGAAATTGTGGATGTACAGTACTTAAAGTGAAAGAATGAGCTGTTCAGTTGACTTTGCCTTTTGGATCCTGTCACAGATATTTATTGTGTTGCACAGCATCCATTATTTCAGTGCATGTTTTAATGATAAATATTTGTTGAAGGCTTATTTTAGAATACTTGTATTTAATTATAATTAATATTCAATGCTTTCAGTCCTTTAATGGTTAGGGACCTATCTATACTGATCCTATTGCAGGTTTAGCAAAGGAAATGGAATTATTAAGTAGCATATCCTATGGAATGATATGAATTGGTCAGTTGTGTTTTAAGTAGAATTTTAAGGAATTAAGCGGCCTTTTGAACATGGATTAGTGTTTTAGCCTTATCACAGAAGGATGAACAAAGGGAATTATTATTATCATCATCATATTAACATTTAGCACTTACAGTACATCATTAAGGTAGGAAATGTACTGTAAATGGTTCTATACTGTCTTTTAAGATGCAGACCACAGCAGCCATGAGCATTTTTTGTCAAAGTACCACTCTTAACTCTTTGTGCACCCTTGAAATTGGCAGGGAAACATAAGCAAGATTGTGTAATTTACTTTAATGTTATTTTTTCTGCGTTTAGCCCAGAAAACATTGGCGAAGGGGGGAGTGCTTCAGCATGCTTTCAGGAAGCACTCTAACAGTTAGTACAAGCAAAGCAGGGGTCAAGTCAGTGGAAATGAGTAAAACAGACTCAGTAAGTATTTCCTGGAAATTAGTTGAGTCCTCCAATGATTATTGTGATCACATTAATCAAAATTGCATGTATCTTTAAATCTGTGCAAAGGCATTTACCGTTATAAATGTTAAAGTAATTATTTAATAATTTTTCATGTAATTATTTATATAATACTTTACATTAATATAAGATGTCCAAATCTTGCATAGTCAACATAAATGTGTACAGTATGTACATGTTCATTCTGTTTTTAATATTATATACAATAGCTTCTGCATATTGTCCTCTTTTTGACTAAAAAAGGAGATTAAATGTGCTCATGAAGATAATATTGGATACATAGTTCTGTATATATGTATTGCCAAATGTTATTGTTAGAAGCAAACTGTTGTTTATTAACTATTGCACAGCCTGTCTTTGGATAGTGTATGCTGTATATTGATATATTTTATTTTTAAAAATTGTTTTCTTTACATTTATAATTGTTTTCAGGAGCATGATATTTATTATTATTATTATTATTTTTATGCAGAGGCTTTCCCATGTGAAGATCTCTGTATACTCCCAAAAGTATCTCAAATACAGTATCTAGCATTCATTTACTCTTTAGGGACTGAGTGTATAAGATAGCAATGGTGGTGTCTTTGATGAAGGGTAGCAGATTCATTCCTATAGTTCTTAGGTGATATAAAAATGAGGGTAATATATTAATGCTGTTCACTATATATGTTAGTCCAAGGACAGAGTCGGTCTAAGAAGTGATTATTTAGAGTAGGGAAATGTAATCTAAAGAATACAATAAATCCTTTGGAAATTAAGTGACTTGTTTATACTGAAGAATTGCACTCATTTTTAAGCAGAGCTTTTTTTTTAGATTTAGATGAAATGCAAAATAAAGCATAGTCTAGCAACAGTTGAAAAAAAGTTGCAGTGTCAAAAACAATTTTTTTTTTCTTTGGAACTTTAATTTTGTGATTAAAAATTACACCTTAAAAACATATTAATGTTCAGTAGATAATTATAGTGATAAGGATATCTTAATTATGACTGAAGGAGAAAGACAAGCTAGTTTTACTTCTTTGAAGACAGCTTAAGGGCACATCCTAATATTTTTTCCTGTCAGTTTGTCACACAGCAAATATATAAAGTACAGTATCTCTGTCCATCACAGGAGTCCTTTGATGTTTTTACTTGATAAGTATACTGTTTCCACCCATGTTTTAATTATGCTTAAATTGCGTCTGGAACAATGGTGGACCAGCAAAATGTTAGAAGTGCCTTACTATTTTTTAGAGAATAACACAAGTTTGCTGTCCGTGTACATTTAGTATAGAGTGTGAATTAATTTGACTTCACCAATGCATTTCTCCTTCTTAAACATAGCTCTGGACAATGAAACAACAATGATTTACTTGTCTCTATTTCTTTTAATGAAATATAAAGGTGTTTGATTCCTTGAATGGTGATGAACAGCTAGACTCTTTCTTTCTCCTTGCACTGATGTGCTTTCATGAACTGTTCCTGTAGCTCACTGAGGCTGTTGGTGCTGTGCCCCCTTCAATAATAAAACTGAAGGACCTGTTGGAGAGCAAGGTGAAGATTTTCCAAAACACTGAGTCCGGAAAGGAGCAGGTAAACGCACACACACTGTGCTGCAAATTAGGCAACACCTTTATCAAGATTAAGCAGCATAAAAAATAAAATCAAAGTGTACAGTATGCCTTCCAACATTTTATAGATTGAAACTCTTTTTCTTCATATTTCTTACCATTATAAATGAAGTAAAGCATTTTTTAAAAATGTCAGGGAAACATTTTGCTTTTGTTGCAAATACATATAGTTTGTATTTACATATATTTTAAACTAAGTAACTTAATGATGTTAAGGATCTAATTGACTGATAAGATCAATGAGAGGCGTAATTGCCTTAAAATAAACTCATTTAACAGGAATTGGTATTACCATTTTTTTTATAATCACATGTTGCCTTAGGGAAATGGGATTAATTAGAAGGTTTTAAGATTACGAAATTAAGATGTTTCAGTGTCTAAAGTGAGGTTTTCATTTTTTCCACTTTTTAGTTTCCATCGTCTGAATACATGCAGAATAAGTTTTAAAATTCATCTGCTTGTTCTGGCAGGTGATTATGCAGTAGGTCTTGACTGTGAATGTCTCTGCCTATAACCCTTGATATCTGCATTATAGAGTACAGTGGTAGAACCATGTGTGTGTGATACCTGCTTCCACATGTCGTAAGTGTGCTGGTGTTTGTCCTGCAGTAATAAAAACAAGATTCAGGAGCAATTATAAATTTGGTGCGCACAAAGTATATTTGTAGGGATTTGGTATTAGACTTAGAATTTTTTGAAGTTTTGCAACGTCTAAATGTCGAGCAAGAGGGTATGGATATTTACAGTATACCGCTAGCTCAACTCTGCAACAATTGAATGAGTATTTAATTTCCTGTAGACAAATGAATTGCTAATTGTAATGGTTGTTAAACCCAGTTTTGATTGCTGGTTTTCTATAATCTGGTAAACCTGAAGTAATCCAAGATTAATGGTGATCAAAAAAGTATGTATGTAATAATATAATAATAATTGCTTACAATTATATAGCGCTTTTCTGGACACTCCACTCAAAGCGCTTTACAGGTAATGGGGACTCTCCTCCACCACCACCAAT